TTAATTTTATAGAAAAAGGAATAAGGAAAAGGAATAAGATGCCAAGAAATAACTGTCTTTAAATTTTATTTCTCTACTTCACACTCCATATATTTAAATGCAACATTCTTTCACATTTCCAAGAAAATTCCTATTGCAATGAAATTCCAATTCCACCTTGTTCCAAGCAACAAAATGAAATGGAAGGTCTCCTCATTTGTTTTATAAAATAGCAAACTCTTAGTTTTGATAAGCAAAATTACATGTGTGGTCACTATCATTCACCAACTTAGATGCTGAAGCTAATTAAATCTTCTATGTAAAAGAACAAAATTTGAAAAATTCCAAAAGGAAAACAAAGATCAATTTCTAAGTCACCCAAATGTCACAGGAGCACAAAAAGGTTATGCACTGGTGGTTTCCCTAAGCTACTCGGGCCGTCCACTAATTAAAACACTGACTGCTCTCTTCAAACACAGAGTAAAGAAAGGACTCATTTCTCATGGGGCAGGAGGAGCTGCTGGAAGGGGACCTGGATGTGTACTGGCCCTGCCCCCCTCCGCATCGGCCCTGGCTGCAACTCCTGCTTACGCCTCCTCTTCCTCATCTCTCAAAGCTTCTTCATACAGGAATGGGAAGGATCTGGGATCACACCCACTGACCTTGGCCACATACTCGAGGACTTTCAATTTGCTCGTTTCAGCATGGGCCCTCGGACCCCACAGGAACTCATTACACGCAGGATCGCTGTTGGGCAGCTGCCGGTACTCCAGGTTCCCTTCCTGCACCCAATCCTGGGTGATGAGCTTCCGGGGCTCCCCGTAGATATAATGCTCCATCCCAGCATGTACCCCCATCGCACCCAGCGCATCCCAGATGACCTCCTCCTGAGCGCAGTCGCCCTCCAAGTAGATTAAGCCCAGGATGATGATCAAGAGACCGGCCTTAGGAAAGCGCTGGGCATCATTCAGCTCCTCATAGTAGGTGAGGCCCACGGAGGTGACAAGGATGTAGGACTGGCTGGTAGGGTCAACTTCCTTCACGTCGACTCCAAAGACCACCTGCATGCAGTCGGAGGCTTCTCTGAAGATCTCAGGGAAGTGATCTTGGTAATCTTTGATGACAGTATTCAGCATTTCTTCCTTGGTGATCAGCTCCTTGATTCGATACTTGAGGAGGAGGAAATGAATCAAATCAGACATCTTCTCTTCTAGTGTATCTTGCATCACGGACGCCGGGTCTGCCAGGTCCTGGGAGGTGCTTGGCCCCTCCTCTTCTTGGTTGCTGGAGCCTTCATTGGAGTGACACATTGGATTGGAGGCCAGGCCAGTGGGGGAGGAGGAGGCTCCCTGAGGACTCTGGGGAGGACTCGGTGGTGCAGCAGCAGCAGCCTCCTCCAGGGTGCCCGGGGTCACAGTAGAGGAGAAGGCGGCTGCCCCCTCCTCCTCAGCCCCGGGAGCCTGTGCGCCCACCAGGCCCTGCACCTCTCTTTGGGCCCGAAGGCCTTCCTCAAGCCTGCGGCGCTGAATCCTATGATGCTGGCGGTGGCGGCGAGGCATGATGGCTCTGGTTGGGAAGCAAGCAGGAATGTGGGCAGGAGCTGGGCAATGGGGACCCACAGGCTTGGGGAGAGAGGAACCGTGTAAGTGGCATCAGTGAGAACCACACCCTGGAGGATCTAACAAAGACCAACCTACAGGCTTTCTCTTTAGGTGATGCTCTGGGGCCTCCCACGGCTCCTGTCCTCCTGGTGGGCCTGTCCCCCTAGTACCTGAAGGAGGAAACAGGAGGTAGGCAGAGTGCAAGGCTCTAGGGCTGACGGTGGGTGGGGCTGGGTGCTGTAGGGTTCCTTCCTCTGTCCTTGAGTGGATGGTCTCTACTGTGCTCACTCAAGCCCCTCACCTTTTGCCTGGAGGGCCCTAGACCAGACCCCTCTGCTGTCCTGAGAAATTCTCAGAATAAAAGCTCCCATTCCTGATACAGAGCAGAAGGCAGTGTGTGGGCCAGACATCTGGCCACATCTGCCCGGGGCCTCCCATAGAGGGGACAGTAAGATTGAGTGGAGTCCATGTGTCCTGCGGGAGGAGCTTGTCTAGTCCTCACCTTGATTCCTAGGAAGGCCTGGGAGGGAGGGTGGACCTGAGGCCACCTCCTTAAACCAAGGCCCTGTCTCCACCAGACAGCGGAAGAGGAAGTGAGGGGAGGCCACCCACCCACTGTTCCCTGTGTCTTTCCCGGGCTGACAGGAGGGGCAGGGCAGGGCTGGGTCTTGTGTGTTGGGTGAGTAGGGTCCCCTGAGTCCTGACCCTGACTCTTGGCAGGGCCTTGGATCCTGCCTCTGCTGACCGGAGTGCAGCCCGTTCAGATGGTGGCCTTCACCTCCCTGAGACCAGTGATCCAGATATGAGAGAGGGGACCTCAGCCTGACAGCCCTGCACGGGCATTTCGGGGCTCTCAACAGAGCAGGGGCAGCTTTCTGGGGGTGCCGTCTGTGTTGTGGGCTGGGGGTGCCCTCAGTCCTCCCTCAGGGTCTTCACTTTGTCTTTTGGCAGAATCTAGGACCACTGTGTCTGTTGACCAGATGGGGTTGACTGTGTTGACCTGATGTCAGCTTCTCAGAACAAGTTACTCAACTCCCTTGGAGCTCCGAAACAAAAGTGAGGAGGTGCCATATCCCTTCACACCTGTGTAGGGTCTCTAGGGTTAACAACAGGGGCTGGCCCATCTGTTCTGGGGTGGGGGCTCCCGAAGTCCTTCTCTAGGGGCCTGCCCTCCTTACCCCATCCCGCCTGAGTTGGGAAGACATCCCCCCTTTAGACCAAGACCTCATCTCCCTGAGGATTCCCCAACTTCCTTCCCTGGTAGAAGTGTGCTGGCCGCTTAGGGTCACCCCTGATGCGGTCCAAGACAGCTGCAGTCTGCGGATGCCTATTATCTGGGCTGGGGGTACCTTCAGTCCTCACCAGGGTGCACACCTCAGGCCTGGGAGATCCTGTGATTCCTCCCCCAGCTGGCTGGCCTCACCCCTCAGACCAAGGTGCTCACCTCCCTGAGAATCCGCACCCCCAACCACGTGGCAGAAAAAGAGCAACGCCACATGCCAACCCTGTCCGGGGCCTCCCAGGGCGGAAAACAGGGAAGCCAGGCAATGTGCGAGCCCCCTTCCTGGGAGTAGGGGGGTACCTCATGCCTTCATTCCTCACCAACGTTCTTCCCGTGATTCCTGCCAGACCCTAGACTCCTCCCTCCGCTGAGGTCACAACTTCCCTCGGACCAAGGCCCTCCCGTCCCTGCAACCCCAAAGAAAGAAGCAACGACGCAACACATCTGGCCACCCCGCAAAGGGCCGAGGTCCCCCTCTGTGCTGGAGTGTAAGGTACACACTGTCCTCCCTCTGTGTCTTCCCCTTGACCCCGGCAGGGCTTGGGCCCACACCCCCTGTTGACCTCCGTCCTCACCCCTCAGATTCCCGAGGCAGAAGTCGGGAGGCGTCTCACGGTGAAATTTGTTCTGGGGCCTCCCAGGGTCACAGGAGGGGCAGGGGTGATTCTATGGGGCCCTCGGTCCTCCCTAAGCATCTCACCTTGACTCCTAACAGAGCCTGGGCCCTCTCCCCTCCGCCGACGTGAAATCCGGACCTCAGACGAACGGCCTCGCCTCTGTCAGCCCCCCAGACGGAAGTTGGTGGACGTCACATCCGGTCCCTCACACAGGACCATCCCAGGGCTGACAGCAGGGGCAAAGTTGGATTATTTGGGGACCCTCTATCTGCGGTGGGGGCCCCCTCAGTCCACCCACATCATCTCACTTGACTCCTCACAGAACCTGGGCCCTCTCTGCTCTGCCGATCTGAAGTCTGCCCCTCAGACCAAGGCCCTCACCTCTGTCATCCCCCTAGAGGCAAGTTGGTGGACATCACATCCGGCCCCCCACACAGGGGCTTCCCAGGGCTGACAGCAGGGGTAGAACGGGATTGATGATGGGAGGCCTCAGTCTCACTCAGGGTCCCGCCCCTGATGCCTGGCAGAGCCAGAGGCCCGCCCTCTCTGGACCTGAAAGGGCCTCGGGTCTCACCAGGCTCTGACCTATTTCTTTATAATTCCAGTTCATCTGCTCATACCTGCTATACTCATGTGACTGCTGGTAGTATCTAAGTGTTCATGCTTGCAAAAATATATATGCTATAATTGTGTACTTTCTTTTTTATTCCTTTTCAAAAAGTGAAATTTTATTTTTTTTATATCAATAGATTTAGAGGGTAAAAGTGTTTTTTTGTTTTTTTTTTTTTTATATGGGTGAATTGTATAGCGGTGAAGTCAGAGATTTTAGTGTACCCATCACCTGAAGTGTGTAAATTGTACCCACTTGGTAATTTTTGATCCCTCACCCCTGTCCCCTTTTGAGTCTCTAAAGTCTATTATACCACTCTGCATCACCATGTATAACCATTGTTTAGCTCCCACTTGAAAATGAGTATGTGTTACTTGGTTTTGCACTCCTGAGATACTTCACTTAGGATAATTGGTTCCAGTTCCATTCTAGTTGCTGTGCTGCAAAAGACATTATTTCATTCTTTTTACAGATGAGTTATATTCCTTGTTGTGTGTATGTGTATGTGTGTGTGTGTGTGTGTGTGTGTGTGTGTGTGTGTGTGTGTGTATCTCACATTGTCTTTATCCATGCCTCAGTCGTTGGACACTTAGGTTGATTCCATTGATTTCATACCTTTACAATTGTGAATTGTGCTCTGATAAACACATGCGTGGATGTGTATTTTAGAGAAAATGACTTATTTCCCTTTGGGTACATAAACTGTTGGTTCTTTGAGGAATCTCCTTATTGTTTACCATAGAGTTTGTACTAATTTACATTTCCACCAAGAGTATATAAGCATTCCCTTTTCACCACGTCCATGCCAACATCTGTTGTTTTTTTGACTTTTTAATAATGGCCATTATGACAGGGTAAGGTGATATCTCATTGTGGTTTTAATTTGCATTTCCCTGATGATTAGTGATTTGAGCATTTTTTCATCTTTCTTGGCCACTCGTTTCTCTTCTTTTGAAGAATGTTCATGTATTTTGCCCACTTTTTAACAGGGCTATTTGTTTTTTTCTTGATTTATTTGGGTTCCTTGTCAATTCTGGATATTAGTCTTTTGTCAGATACATAGTTTGAAAATATTTTTTCACTTTCTGTAGGTCATCTGTTTGCTATATTGGTTATTTCTTTGCTGTGCAGAAACTTTTTAGCTTAAGTCCTGTTTATTTATTCTTGGTTTTGTGGTATTTGCTTTTGGGAACTTAGTCACAAATTCTTTTCCTAGACCAATGTCCAGAAGAGTTATTCCTAAGTTTTCTTCAAGAGTTTTTATGGTGTCAGGTCTTACATTTAAGTTTTTAATCCATCTTGATTTAATTTGTGTGTATGGTGAGAGATAGGGATCCAGTTTCATTCTTGTGCATGTGGCGCTCGAATTTTCCCAGCACCATTTATTGAATGGAGTGCCCTTTCCCCAGTTTGTGTTTTTGTCTGCTTTGTCAAAGGTCAGCTGGTTATACGTATATGGTTTCATTTCTGGGTTCTGTATTCTGTTCCATTGATCTATGTGTCTACTTCTATACCACTAAGATGCTGTTTGTTAATTTTATTTTTAATTTTTTTGGAACATTCAACCTGGCTGGTAGCATAACATGCTGTTTTGATTACTGTAGCCTTGTAGTATAATTTAAGGTCAGTATTGCTATGCCTCAAGATTTTTTTTTTGCATAAGATTTCTTTGGCTATTTGGGCTCTTTCTGGATTCCATATGAAATTTATGATTGTTTTTCTAATTCTGTGTAAAATGGTTTTGGTATTTTTATGGGAATTACATTGAATCTGTAAATCACTTTGGGCAGAACTGACATTTTAAAAATATTGATTCTTTCAATCCAAGAGCCTGGGATATTTTTCTGTATTTTTGTGTCATCAGTGATTTCTCTCAGCAGTGTTTTGTAGGGCTCTCCTTTGTAGAGATCTTTCATGTTCTTCCTTAAGTATATTCCTGGGTACTTATTTTCTTTGGAGCTATTGTAAATGATACTGAGGTCTTGATTTGATCCTGAGTTTAGATGTTATTAGTGTATAGAAATACTACTGATTTGTGTACATTAATTTTATAACCTGAGAGTTTACTGAATTTATCAATTCTAGGAGTATTTTAGAGGACCCTTTAGGGTTTTCCAGTTATAAGATCATATATCAGCAAACAGGAAGAATTTGACCTCCTGTTTTCTGACTTGGATGCCTTTTATTTCTTTCTCTTTCCTGATTGCTCTGGGTAGGACTTCCAAACTATATTGAATAGAAGTAGTGACAATGGGCATCTATGTCTTGTCCCAGTTCTTAGGGGCAATGTTTTCAACTTTACCCCATTCAGAATGAATGGCTGTGGGTTGTCATATATGGCTTTTTATCATTTTTAGGTATATATTCCTTCTATTCCTTGTTTCTTAAGGTCTTTTATCATGAAGTGGTGCTGGATTTTATCAAATGCTTTTTCTGCATCTATTGAGAT